CTCGCGTCCCGGCGTCGCTGAAGAGCGCTGAAGAGCGCTTCCGCGTGGCGATTTGTCCAAGGCGATGCCCTTCCCAGTGGCCTTCCCATGAGGGATTCATGAGCCCATCAGCCCATCCCTCATATCCAAAGCAACGGTATCAAAGTCTCAAAGAGCTCTTTCTCTTTCCGCTGCCTTAGCCGCGCTTCTTTTTCCTCTTTTTTTTTGCTGAAACTGGTCGCTTCTGGGGGGATCTCTTGTAGTTGGTTCCAGTGGCCCGCCTTTTCGCAAGACACGCGGATTCCGCCGTTCACGGGCGGAATCCGCCCGCAGTATTCTTCGTGTCACGCATGTTGAGCTTCCCAGGCCCTATGGTTGCAAGGCTCTTCTCTTCATGTCTAGAGGCTTAGCAGTTTTCAGCACAAACGTATCGCACTTTGAATAACATGTTGCAGGCTAAGCTGAGTGACAGCCATCCGCGGCCAAAGATCTGGACCGAGGAGTCCAATCCCTTGAGCATGGACTTGCAGAGGTCTGAGAAGATGGATGCTTCGGACATCCGAACAACCGCCGGGGTCATGGAATTATGTCAGGGATGTTCTTCGGGCGGAGCGGGTTGGGCTCTGCACACCTCTCGGGATCGAGCCGTAGAGAAACGCGGCGAGGCGGATGCCTCAAGCCTGCTGCTAAGCTTCGTCTGCCTGAACCCTCCAAACTCCAAACTCCTTTAATCATGGGGGTTTGCCTCAAACTATGGGTTGAAGTCCCTTTTTTTTCTGGGGAGCTTGAGGGTGGTGCACTTCCTCCTCCAGAGGGCTTCGGTTGAGTCAAATTTCAGGTTGGTAAGCCGCTGTTGGGGGGAGCACAGTTTGACAACACCGACTCATCACCAAGGCGAAGAAGTACGTTGCCAGGCGGGGGTCGTGCGTTGGACAGAACCGATTCTCACAACTAGGTTCAGGAGGCGCTTGCTTTTCGCCAAGCTCAGCTACAGGATATTGGGAAGCTCTACTCAGATTTCATCGAAGGGATTTTGCAGAACCCTGCGCTTTGCTTGCGCATGGGTCTGAGTCGTCCTTTCGTGCGAAAACAATATGTTCAACCGCTCACTGCTGCATTTGACGATTCCTTGTGGTTACTAGCTCCTCCATTTTCCTATCGCCGGCCTTTCGCACTGCGTGCGGCTCCTTCTGTGTTTTTTGTTCCGCCCTTGACGGGCAAGCGTCCTTCAACCCTCTAGTGTCCAGGCTTTGCCTTTCACGCTACAGCTCAAACATGAGGTACTTGGTTGCTTTCTGCTCCCCTGCTAAAAGTGACTAACTTTTAGTGGTTTAATGGAAAACCCATTCGTTGGCAAAAAGTTAAAGTCCTAACATCCAAGCAAAATGCACAAAAGGGTATTTCTAAATTCCGACCGCCTTGGTCAAGGCACGTCCAGGCCTAACCCTCATCCGACCTCAAGTTCCAAATCTGCCGCGAAACGCCGAGGAATTGGCGCAACAGTTCAGGGCTCAATTCCCTGACCACCAAAGTGCCCTCTTTCTTTGGCGTCCGCAACCCCCAACCTCCAAGTAACTTCTGGGCCACTGGGGGCTGACGCCACGTGTGGACTTGCACTCGTGAGGCATGGAATTGAGCACGCGGGCGAGGCGGTGCGTCTGAACCAAAAGGACACGTTCTTGAGTGGTCAAACCACCCTGCAGCTTAAGTCCCATGACATCCCATGATAATTTCACAACAACGGTTTCTTTCATGGCCCCAGAAACTTCGCTGCGAGCCAGGATGCTCTGCAACACGCTCACAGGGGTTTGCTGGGCACCTAGCCTGATGACCACGTGCCCTTGGCAGATTGCATCGCTCTGTACACTAGGGCTATTCCTTAAGGCCTTACTTGCCAAAATGGTTCGAGAGGGGGTTCCTTCTACCCCAGTCGCACATCTTGCTCCGCCGAAGGAAAAGGAGAACACCCGGCCATAAGTTTGTCAGTCGTGGCCAACCACGGACCATTCCAAGGCCGCCCATCGTCCAGCACATACTTGCTCCTCAGGAAAAACACGATTTGTGAGCAAAATAGCGCCGTCTCAAAATATGGCCCTCCACACTCTATCATTCTGGAGCCCAGTCCCCTTGTTCCCTTCGTCCCCTCTCCCTCTCTTCCTCACCTCCTGCTCTCCCTGGACAGCAGCTGAAAGGAAGGTTTCGCAAACTTGCGCCTGTCGCGCGAGTTTCTCCTTTCCGCGTGGCCGCGCGCCCTTTCCCATCACCTAGGACACTCGCCTCACACATGTCATGTGCACGGAATGTGGGCCAGCACCAGGACAGAATCAGATAAACCGCCCTTTTCTGCAGTTTCTCGAAGCCTGGACGCCCGGACGGAAGGCCCAAGGCAAAGCAACAACTTGCATCGTCTAAATCTGGGACCCAGCTTTCAAGTCACGAGTCTTTAAGCAGAGCTCGTCTCTCGGTGAGCGGTTTCCGGTTTCAGGGAAGACATGCTGCGCCCGGAAGCCGCTTTTGGCCCCAGAGGAAGATGCGCGTTGTGTGAATCATTGGAGGGTCCGGGGGTGTGCATTGGACGCATTGGAGGGGTCATGGCCTTAGGGAATGTCCCTGTTCTATTTTGGCAGGCTGCTGTGCCCGGCAGGCAGCGCCATCTGATTGATTGGGGCGCCTGCAAAGGGCACTGGCACGCCATGCCATCATGCAGCAATTGGCGTCTACATGTGGGACCCACATTTCAAGATACACCCTAGGCGCTTTGACTGCTTTTCAGGGCTCTTGAAAACAGGTGCTTTTCAGGGCCTGGTGATGTTTTCCTTGGATGGCCCAGTGCATTGGAGGGCTCATGATGAGCCCCTTAAAGGACGCAGAGCCTGCGGTGCGGAAGCATGCTCGGGAAACACCCCGCCCTCAAAAGCCTGTGGAGCTGTCTGCTTGGGACAAGAAAGACGAGTCGGGCGTGGGCCAAGACGCTGGAGGTGCAAAGAATCAAAGGCGCAGCGTTGCGACTGCGTCGAGCTGCCGGAGTTCGTAAGAAACACGGCCATTCCACGCCTGCTTTTGGCCAGCGGGGTGCCTCAAACTACCTCCTCCTGCCACTCCAAAGCAACTCACAGTCACTTCAAGTCACGTTGGTGCCGACCTCCGGTTTGCTCCTGGTACGGCCGTCCACGTCCTGCTCTCCCGCAAAAGAAATGCCAGCCGAAGAAGGGATGCCAAAAGCAACTCCTGAGATCGGAATGTCTTCGGACCGCGCTTCCCTCTTGGAGGTTCACTTCCATTTAAGCCCCCAACTATACCTGGCAGCAACTCATTTCCCACTGGGGCATCGTTGAAACGCCGAAGCGGTTGAGGCCGCCCGCGAGCCGCTGCCCCTTGTCGGGGCTTACGGGTGAACTCTGGGGTTCCCAAGACGCAGGATTTCAGCTTGCTGGTGAAAGGCCCAGGTGCGAGGCTTCTGGTAATAGTAAGGCGTGCGCAAGGGCTTCAGGTGACGGAAAAAACGGCAAAAGGGACCTGGAAGAAGATGCTCCCCTTCGTGGCGACTCAGAAACCTGCCAAATGGAAGTGCCTGCAAGGGCTCGCTTGCCTCGGCGGAAATCTCAGCCGCCACTGGAACAACCCGCAAGTGGCACGAGGGCCCCTGTCTGAGGTGCCTGGACCCTCAAACTACCCATAAAAAATGGAGCCTGGTGGAAAACCCACAAGCTTGTGAAGGGGCTCATTTCCGGCCGCTTTGCGATCGGCCTTCCTCAAAAAAAACAAAACGCGAGCGCGCGCCAGGCGAGCGGCCGCGCAGTCAGGCAAAGCAGCGGCACCATGTCGCGCAACTGAGCCCCAAGAAAGTCAAAGCTCCGCTTTTCAGCAGCTTCCGCTCAACTTCGCTGGCAAAGGGGAGCTGCTTCTGGGCCCTCCGCTAGAAGTGACTAACTTTTGGTGGGTTAAATGGAAATCCCTACTAAACACTAAAAAGCTAAAAAGCTAAGGGGACGGCTGGGAACTACAGAGGCTTCAGAGCCTTGCAGCGGCGCTTCCTTCAGGCGGAGACTGAAGGCCTGTGAAACTTTCGCAACGCTTGCAACACGCATCACTGCAAACGCTCTACGGGTGGCGAACATCAATTCCGAAGCAATCGCTCTTCCGCCCTTCCGCAAGCCTTCCGCGCTTCCGCTTCGCCCGGGAGCTTTTCGAGGCCGTGCCATGGTACGATTTGTGCTTCGGCCCCTTGGGGCGGACTGCACTTCGCTTGGGATTTAAGCCCACGAACCTTTTTTTGAGGCGATCTCTCTTATGAAAATCCAAGCCACAGCATTGGAAGAGCTCAGGGAGCTTCGACATGAGCACTTGCGGAAGAGAGCTGCCTCGACACTCTGGTCTTCCACGTACCCTCTGCGTGGCTTCCCCGCGACTTCTGCGTGTTTCCCCGGGTAGCGCCCTATTTTACAACACACATGACACCGCCATTCGCCCTACTGCGTCTCTTCCTGGCACATGGAAAGCTCGTGCCAGGTTCGCTTGGAAACTAAGACAACAATGCGAAGCGCATGAGTTTTAACCCGACGCCCGTGTTCTTTCAGCTCAACACAGTCTGGCAATGGCGCCGCACATAGCTGGAGGAAACACCCGCGTTCGCATCTTCAACAACCAAACCAGTCGCTTGCCTGCGGGGCATCTGAAAGCTGCTTGTTGGAAGGCTCCGAGGACTTGGGCATCGGCATCCATCATGGCCTTCCGCGCCCGTGTCGCGCAGCGAAAGAACCCGGCCAGCAAATCAAGCCTCCTGGGATCGCCAAGTTGCAATCGCCTTTTCTTTCCGTCAATTACTCTGGGTGCCATTTTTTGCGGCTTTAAGAGCGCACGGAGAAAAAAGAAGATCGCCACCGGCGATCCAGGCTTTTGCGAACGGCGGATCTGGCCCAGCGGAGTCCTCAATCGGACACCTCCAGGTAGCCCGGTGGCCACGAGGCTTGTGGCCTCACAGAAGAGCCCCGTGGCTTGCGCGCTGGAGACGGAAGTTGGACTCAGAGTCTCACTCTGCGCCGCGGCGCCACGCAGAGGAAAAAGAGGCACGCTCTCTCTTCATACTCCGCTGCGTGCAACGCGAGCGGCGAAAGCCAACATGCCCGCGAAGGCACTGATCGCCGAAAGCGCTCAACCTGAACAGGTTGGGGTTCTCGGGGTAACCGAGGGCTGAACCATTTTCTAGGGGTAACGGTAACTTCCGCATTCTTTCCAGGATCCTTCTTTTTAGAAAACCACTCAAAAGCCTGGGGAAATGGCTGGTTTTGGAAAAGAACGATGGCTGAAAAGACTGGGGAATCAACCCCTAGAAATTTGTTGAACATGAATCCGGGTACCCTAAAGGTCCTGGGGCTTGGTATGCAAAACCCGAGGGTGACCCCGAGTTGCTTTAGGGGTGTCATATTCTGAGGCCCCACATTTCATTAGGACCCATGGCGTACGAGCCATTCAATCCAAACAAGATGCAGTTCAATGAATTTGCAGCCAAAGAGTAACCCGCCCATTAAGGAAAAGTTCCTCAGTGGTTAACCATCAAACACAGTGTGAAATGCTGAAAGTGATGCAATCCCAACAAAATGTGGGAATCTCACTGCTGTTGGCAGGCCCAAATGGAAATCAATTGGGGGTGTCTGAGATCCACAGCATATTCAATCGATTCAATGACTTCGAAAGGAAACTCGGTTGTAATTGCAGGAACAAAAACTTGGTTGCTTTCGAATTCGGCTCCCCTACTCAAAGTTTAACTTGTAGTGGTTTAATGGAGAATCCATTAGTTGGCAAACAAAACAAGTCCTAACATCCAAGCAAAATGCACCTCTGAAAACATGACAAATCCTTAAGAATGCTGAGTCAGGTCTCCACTGATTCCGGAATAAAGAAGACCTCTACTCCAGCAAGAACTTGTTGTTTTGAGGTTCTCAAAAATAGCCAGGTTCTTCGCGGGGACACCAGGCAAACAATATACATACGGTTTGTGGGCGGGTTTTGTATTGGTTTTGTATGGTTGTCTTACTGGCTGTAGAATCAAAAACAGCTTTTTGTCGGAAAACCTTGATTTTGGCCAGCAACAGGATACAAACCAGGCTTGTTGTTTGCACCTGAAAGGCATGTTCTTGCAGTAGAGAAAGATTCTCACAGCTTGCAGCCAACAGAAATTCCTTGGGGATACCTGAGCACCCCCACCCCCCAACTGGCAGGGATAACAAAGGTCAATGGCTTTGTATAGCTCAGGGGTCCCTGGACCCTCAAACTCCCACCTTAAAAATGGGTGATTGCAACCCAAAATTATGGTTGGTGAGTTCCAACTTGCTTAGTGGGTAGTTCTTTCGGGTCCAGGTATACGATTCCCGCATGGGGCTGTTGCTCGAACAAGTTATTCCCTCTACAAGCCTTCCATTTGGTTAAAACCCCTGAAGGAAACATATGGTTGTTTGTTAAGAAAAAAACAAAAACAACTGTAGTGATAGATGTCCTTTAAAACCAACAGGGGAGAATAAAACATATTCTTAAGCAAATGCAAGAATCCACAGCCCTGCCTGCCGAGAGGTGTGACTTGGACAGACTCGCCTCGAGCCCTTCCGCGCGCAGAAGGATAGAGTGCTCAGCTTCTCCTTGCCCAGTCGTGAAGGAGAAGAAGGGAACCGTGGTTTGGTTCTTCAGCTTAGCCTACCAACGTTGACAATTAATGATCTGTCCCTACAAGCCTGTTGGGCCCTAAATAAGGCCAAAATTACCCCAAACGCTTCAAATAGCTTCAGGTCTACGAGAATGTCGACACTCCTCCAACTCCTGTTCTTTCGGAAGGTTGCAGCACCAACTTTGACAATCGTGACCTGTCCCTACAAGCCTGCTAAACCCTAAATAAGGCCAAAATGACCCTAAAGACTTCAAAATAACTTCAGGTTTACGAGAATGTCGACACTCATTTCTCACCAACGGAACCTATAGGTCCTCCAGTAGAGAGGTCAGAATAAGGGTACCTTTTTTTTCTGTAGTTTGTCTTAGTAGGGGAACCCTCCCCCAAAAAAGAAACGGTAAAAGGCCACCTAGCTGGGGGACCTAGGAACGGTTGCCCAGCGAGCAACCTGGCAACATCTTCGCCCAAAGGGCACCGAGAAACTGCGCGAAACCCCGCTAAAAGTTTAACTTTTAGTGGGTGGAATGGAAACTACCACTAAACACTAAAAAGCTAAAAGGCTAAGGGGATGGCTGGGAGCCACCAAGTCAAGTGGTCTTCCCGTAGCCTTCCACCTACCCTGAAAAAAGGAAGTCGCCCACCATATTGTTGGGGGGCAATACCCAATCCTTGAAGGATGCGTTCACTTTTTTTTTTGGAAGTCCAAGACCTCAGCCTGAAGCCTCCAAAATTCAACTGAAAAAACTGGTGATTGCCCCAAACATTTGGGGTCCAAATGTAAAATAATGGTTGAAACAATGATTTGTTGGTATTTACAGGGAAATCGAATCCTCCCAAGCTTTGTTGGGTGCGAAATGGATTTCGGAACCATCCACAGTATGGGGCCAATCCCCTTTTTCAAGGGTAGTTTGAAGTTCCTCCGGAGCACATCTTGGACTTCCCTCCCCTTCCTCCGATCTCCGCGCTCACGCGCTCACGCGTCCAACTTGCGCGCGCTTTGGCTTCGGATCGGAAGGAGAAAAAGCAGCGCCGGGCCAGCAGCTCCGAGAGGAGGCACCAAGAGGCGTCCTGAAATTCAAGCCCTTGGATTGGGCGAAGGAAAACTTGAGCAGTGTGTGCACCCAGTTATTTTCGAACACCTTTTAAATAAAAGGCTCGAGTAGAGGGTATATCCAATGGCTGACCAAAACCTCTGGTGAACATCGAAGTAGGTGGCACATGGGTGTTTATTCGCCCCAAAATGGAGGCATAGGTTATGACCACAATTCCAACTTGAAGAGGTGGTTAATATAGTTCACCTGGACCCACACAATTCCAACTTAAACATGGGGGTCAGTTGCTTGCCCCGAAACTATGGTTGGTGGTTTCCCTTTGTGGGCAGTTTGAGGGTTGATATAACCACCGATGCTTAACCCAGAGGGTTTTATCTTGGTACCCTTAAGGATAGCTTTTGGCCGTTAAAACGGGTCAACAGTTTCAATATGGGGGTTGATCAATATTCCCTTCAGTCCCAAACTGACCACGAGCAACTTTCCCGTTTGGGGGAAGTCATTTCTTTGGCTGTTGATCAACCCCCAATAGAATCATTGTTTAACCCAAAGGTTCCCTTGGTACACCAGGTGGGGATTCATGTCCACCAACCACTTTAAGATGTAACACCTCTTAACCTGCTGACCAGAGTCCAGTCAAGCGCCAGCGCTCACGAACTGACACTTCGCTGGGGAGAACGTGTCTTCACTAAATCACCACTTCACAAGGAACCAGGGGACAGCGGTTTTAGAAGCAGACAAATTCTCTGGGTTCTCATAGATCATTTGAGTCCAAATGAGTCACAAGCAAAACCTGGTACAAAAATGGTGAACCCAGAACCATGTAAAGAATTAGAAAGGCGGCCGCAACTATTTCCGGCTGGGACTGCCCCTTACTAACCTTCATCTACCCGGGTTTTGATTGTGGCTCAAATGAAGTCGGCAGTCGGTTCATACTCTGCCTGGCTTCTGCCGTCTCACAAATCCCGAGTCCTGGACGAACACCCCTTGCTCCATCCTAGGATAGGCGCAACGCACGTGGAATAGTTTTGCTTTGGCACATACACAACTGCGCTTTTCCAATATATATATATATATACATATATACATATATGCAAATATTGAGAAGACACATTCAGATGGTTGGGTGTTAGCTCCGTTTCGGTGAGAAACCCATGAGGCAATTTGCTGACGCGCTCGTCTACATAACTAATTCTACGTTTTGGTTGTGTAGGGCTTGACTGGTCTAGGCTGCTTCGCATATAAGTTTCCTATTCGAGGCTTGTACTTGCAATGACTTTTTAGGACCCAAGCAAGAATTCTCTTGCTACCTTCCCCATTCTTTCCAGGGATCCTTCTTTCTAGAAAACCTCCAGAAACCCAGGGAAACGTCGGGTCTTCGAAAAGAACAATGGTTGGAATGAATGGGGAATCAACCCTTAGAAGAATGGGAGGCTTGTCTCACTGAACATGAATGGTTTCCGGTTTGTTTCCAAACAACCTCAAGGGCGCCGCGCACTTCTGGAGCCTTCAGCACCCCGGAAAACGGCGCCGAGGCAACAGACAGGTGAAGCATGCTGGACGCAAACAAAAGGCCTGGATCGTCAGTTGCTGTTGGCCATCTAGGGGGTTAATTTTGGGGAACCCCGTATTTTACTGGCTTTAGAAAGGACAAGCAGGAAACCTAGGTAGAGGATTGCGGGGTCCAATGTCCAAAGTAAGACTTGGTGAAAAACCACAGACCACTCTGGAAAAGCCTGAACCAAACTGGCGGAGGGGGCCAACAACTCTCTACATGAAGCCAACTCCTCCCGAAATGTTGCTTTCCCCAGGTGCGAAGGCCTGCGTGCCTACGTCCGGAGGCACCGAAGAGAATTTCTCACGGCAGGACACAAACGCCACGCGAGGAGGAGGGATTCTTCTCTTGTTTTCGAGATGCTACTGTGGATGACGAAATCCATTTCGCACCACCCTAAGAAACCCTGGAATGCTGATTTCCCTGCGAACACTAGCGAACAATGGCGACCCATGGTTTCACAGTGGTGCGAAAATGAATTTCGGTTTCCCTTCCACCGTAGCGTGGTTTCATGCACAAAGGCCAAGCTAGCCTTCCGGAAGGAGGGGAGGTGGCTTGACTTGCTGGCAAACCCTAGGAGCTGGCGACTGAATTGGGCCTCTCTTTAGGGTACCCTTTAACTCTCATTTGCTTAAGCCCCCTAGAGAAAAAAAAAAAACATATCCAGAAGTGATAGATTCACTTTAAAACCAAGTGGGACAAAAACACATATTCTTAGCAATTAGAAGTTAAGGGAGCTTCTACAGGAACCAAGCAGAAAAAATCTCGACATAAGGTTTGGTTCCCACGCGATGTCGGCCAAGCCTCTCTTCAAGGCGCAGACCACGGTCTCTTCCGGCCGCCATGGATCGCCAGCGCCAACTCTCTTGGAAAGCCGAATGCAAAGCAATTAAGCTACATGGATCGCCAGTTGCGACCAGCAAAAGTGGCTGAAAAAAAAAAAAGCAACTTGGCTATCTAGGTACTTCATGTCGCGATCGTGTTTGAGTTCTTGTTTGTCCCCACCCTCCGGTCCACAAATGAACAGTGGATTGTCCCAAGGCCCTAGTTTGATGTGTCAACAGCCGACCCCGAAACGGTGGTGTTCGCTTTGGTTCCCTTTTGAACAACCTGCAAAGAGTACCGAGCCACCAAAACACAAGCACACACACACACATGCCCAACCGAACATCGGCTTGCTTCGGCTAAAAGCGCTTGCCATTTCGGCGAACAGCATCGGCATCCGCGGCAGGGTTCCCAGATTCCCTTGAGGACAAATCGTTTGGCTTCCAGGTAAAGAGACCTACCTGAGGAGGTGGGTGGGTCCCCAGACCACACAGAACATCTCAGTTGCCCAACTCAGAGGGTCCGTCGGTCTGTTGAGGAGGGTTGAAAGGGATCCAACTCAGAACCTCAAAAGCTTCTTGGACCCAAAAGGAGCCGAATTCGGGTGTTTTAGGCCCCTGTTCTTGGTTGACGTAATGGAAGGGGAGCAATAAGTTCTGATTTTTAGCGGTTAAGTGGGTCCCGATTTACCACTGGGTCCAAGTTCGGTTTCAGGGGTCAAAGTACATGGACCCTCAAATACCCTTAAACATGGAGTATTGCAACCCACAATTTCGGGCTGCATTCCCATTTTTATGTGGGTATAAATCAAACATAAGTACCCAAAATGGAACCCTGGTAAACGGCAACAAGGACCAACACCTGCGGTTTTGGTTTAATTTGGACCCATACCCATGTGTAGTTCAAGGGTCCGATCGGTACCTCCTACCTCAGAAGGTACCAAGGGATTCGGCTGAAAACCAAATTAGCTCCGCACGGCAATTTGTCTATCATTAGGTTTCGAATGGGCCGTGACTTCTGCGGGCACTGAATTGTAGGCACGATGACTTCATTCAAGCAACCTGGACCATCAAACTACCCAGGGAATTCACCAGTTCCATCATGTTGGTCTGCAACTCACCCCATCTCTTAGGGTACAAAGTTGAGTCTTGGTCCATTCCATCATGCTGGTCTGCAACTCACCCCATCTCTTAGGGTACAAAGTTGAGTCTTGGTCCATTCCATCATGTTGGTCTGCAACTTACCCCATCTTTTCGGGTGCACAGTCCAGGTGCTTGTTTCTTGTCAAGGGATGCCCCCGTTCGACCCACCCCATTTTTCAACTTTTCAGGTTTTTCACTTTCAGGGTCCAGCTTCGAGCACCCCAAATGGCTGCGGCTCAAAAAACCCGGAATTCCAAAATGGCTTGCCCTGGGTGGAAACATGGACTTCAACACCCGCGGTTTGCCCCTCCTGCTTAAATTTTGAGCCACAGCCCTTCGACTGCTTGCCGCGCCCTTCGTCTCATCTCTTGGGCTCCAACGAGCCCCTCACTCGCGCCCCTGGGCAACAAAATGGCCGCCGCTCGCGGCGAGGCGAGGCGCGGTGGTGCGGTCCATCTTTTTGGCTGGACATCTCAAAAGCTTGGCTGGGTTCATCTGGTTTTCAGAGAGGTTGGCAAATTGGTTTCGGATTGGTCTAAAGTCGCACTGGCGGGTTTTGGTGCCGGCTGGAGGGGTGTGTATTCTCCGTTTAGAGAGGAAGACGGGGGTTTTGGTGGTGAATTCGCTTGAAGGCTAGTTTGATGGACGCAAGGCTCCCATACACAAACCTACACGCCGTGCACGAGCACAATCACGCGTTGATGAACCTTGCGTCACCAAAATACCAATGGGCGGCCGCAAAGTGGCCCACGCCTGGGTAAGAAAACTCACTGGTGACTGGGTCAACCCCACTGAAGAGGCTGGAACAAGTGGGTGATAACCTGGGAAACTCACAACTTGCGAAGCTTGCAAATTTTTCACACCCAAGTAGCGCCATTGGTCGCAGAAACGCGGGACTTGCCAAGCATGGGACGTGATCTCTATCTCCGCCCCCCACTCCCTGAACGATCCAACGGTTGCACCCGGTTGGGTGTGTTGCCGGTTTTCAGGAGACACACACGCAACGCGGCCCTGCGCATGTGCCAAACACGGGCTGTGCGAAATCTCCATAAGCTTTGACGCCATTCGCAAACGAACAAAAGAACGCACTCATCCATCAGATTTTATGTTCTCGGTTGCTTTCTGCTCCCCTGCTAAAAGTTTAACTTTTAGCGGTTTAATGGAAAACCCATTAGATGGCAAAAAGTTAAAGTCCCAACATCCAAGCAAAATGCACCAAAGTTTTATACACATGTTTGTCATTTGAGGCAAGCTGGAATGACCGCTCTCACCGTCCAAATGACATAGCAAGTTGAGAGCTTAGGACATTTAAATAACAAATCACGGGTTGCTTCCGCTGCGAAGAACTGGACTTGCCGGTTTGGGTTGGATATATATATATATATATATGTATATAATTATGATTATATATATATATGTATATGTATATGGGATACATATTAAAAAGAAACACATCCAACCTGCTTGCTAGCTTCTGATAAAGGCACTGGACCTTTGGTTGTTAAAGGGAAGTCAATCCGGACATAAAAAGGAACACACGGGTAGTTCTACGGCGTTTGAAGATGGCTTATGAATGCAAGCAGGTCCTGTCATGAATGCTTTTTGGGTACTTGGGGACGTCTCAAAAAATTGGAAAATCCAACGACGGAATGGGTTTGGTATACCTTGGCTTCCCCGTAAAAACCTGGTGGCCCGTCAGGTTTTGGCAAAACCCAGACCCGATTCAAAAGCCCAACGCTTCAAGACTCCCTTGACTCCCCCTCTCTCTATTAAAAAAAAGAGAAAGACTCGAGCAAACGGTTTCAACGAGGGACCGGGCAAACCCTAAGGACATTCCCAACCATAGGTGTCCGTTTAGGGGAAATAAATGGCGCCAGGCAAACCGATCGGAATCGCCATCTATTTTTCGAGCAAAACAACCAAAAAGGACACCTATGTTCCCCACAGTTTATTCCAATCAGGTTACCCTTCATTGGTTTGGATATGTTTGGATTGGGAGTTGGGACTAGGATTTGAACCCCGACTTAGGGATCGGAGACCCCAGGTAAGGGTGAAGGACGGCACAATTCCTGTGGGTAACAGGTGGAAGGAGTTGCGCCATCTTTCACCCAACAAGCCGAAGGCCAAACCTGAGAGTTCCCTATATGTCCTCTTTAAACCATCACCCCACCCAAAAGGAAACTCAATTTACATTGGCTTCCCAAAGGTGATGTTCAAAACCACCCACCAAAACGAGAAATATATGGGTGCGTCTCAAAATGGTTGGTTTTCCATTTGGTTTCCCTTTCAATCAACCCCAAAAGGGTACTTGGGTGTTCTAGGTCTTAACCCAGTTATTTCAGCCTCCTTAAGTGGGGTTAACCCAGTCATTGGGGGGTTATATCCCAGGTGGCGTTGCCCACTTCCTAACTTGGCGACGAACATCCAAGTACGCAAGCAACCCCAAAATCGTTGGGTTTGGGGTGGTCTGATTTGGATCGCTTCTGGTTCTCCTCTGGAGGGATGGGGTTTTCCACATAAAAAACCAGCGGGCTCCAAACCAACTGGCGGGACGCTGAAGTGCCAAGCCTCAAACAAACAAAATAGACATCCCTAAAGGAGGGTAGGTACGTAGAGTCCCCATGACCCTTTAAACATGGGGTCATTACCCAAAATTTAGGGGTCATGACCCCTTTCTCCAGGGGTCATGGAGACTCCAGGTAGATGCAAGGGGTGGGTAGTTGCCAGACGCTGCCAAAGTTCCTTGGGATTTCTGAGGCTTCCATTTTCCGAGAAGTCCCACGGAAAAAAGTGAGAAAATGTGTCCAGTAGTGAAATCGATTCCAACTTTGAGATCAACAGGTTGGACAAATCAACAAAATCCTTAGGGAGCCTGAACTAGGTCCTCCAGTCAAGAGGTTTGAATAAGGGTACCCTTTGTTTCAGTAGGGGGGACCCTCCCAACCAAAAAAGAAATGGTAAAAGGGCACTGGGGGACCTAGCTGCCATTTGTTCAAGTCCAAAGCCCACAACAAGGAATGTTGCTGTTGAATCAAAGGAATCTCAGCAAATGGAAGTCTTCCTTCCTTAGGCATCCCGAAGTCGCCCTGGACCCACCCACCCGCGCTTCGCCCAGAAGCCAAGCCACGGCCTCCTTGGGCGCATCGCGATTGCGGCCCCGCGGCTTTACGGGGGGCAGCGGCTGGTCCTCAGACGAGCTGAAGGCGTGGCTCGTCTTTCTCCTTTTGAGGGCGAAGCCGAGGCTGCCCCTCCTTTCGGGGAAATCTCGAGTTTTTTTTGTTTTTTGGAATCTGGCAAATTCTGCCCCTCATGTTGGAATCTTGGACTCTCGAGGTTTTGTGTTGTTTCTTGAATTTTGGGAGGAAGTCCCGACAATATCGAGGTTTCTTGGTGTGCTTCTTGGACTCTTGCCTTCACTGGGGTTTGTGTCTTGGTGAATTTTGGGGGAGTCCCAGAAATCTCGGGGTGTTTTGTCGGGAATGTATTGACCTGCCGGCGCGAGAGTCTGACCCGACAAACCATCCGACTGGTGGCTTCCGTTCGGGCAATCATTCCCTGGGCACCAGCAAGTTTTGCCCCTCAAGATGAGAACCCAAAAAAAAACACCCTAAGGCTTCACAAAAATGGGTTGAACACCATATATTTGAAGGGTAGGTTGACCAACTTGTGGTTGGTTTTAAAGGGAAACCAGGAGGAAGCTACCCATTTGAGGGGGTCTCCTAATTTTGAGACCACCCCAAACAGGGCAGGTAACCAAGAGAACCGGCCTTTAAAAACAAGGCAAGGATTCAGGAATATTAAGGATTGAGCATTCAGGCCCTTTGTTGTTCACAGGCCTTTGATTGAACAGGCGTCCTGAACCCCAGCAGCCTATTGAA